AAAGGTTCGGGCACGAGGCAGGACTGCATCCATCGTGCTGCTTTGCCTGGTCGCTTCTGACGGTCGAACAGTCGGTTTCACAACACAGCTGGTCGGAGGGATAAAGTATTCTTACTGTACGAAACACTACCTACCGAGTTGACTAAGGTTCCCACATAAACGAGATAATAAAAACTAAGGATGGAATTAGGGCTCCTTACAGGAATAGGCTGAAATATTACAAGCAGTTACGACTGTCAGAGACCCAGGACGGGACAGATGAATTCCGTTAGCTTTCATGTGAGATTTCATCAACTAGGGTAAATATCCCCTGACTTAAACCGACGAGACAACGAGCTCGTGGCTCAATGGTCAGGGCGTTTGACTGATACAAAAAGGTCGCAAGTTCGAGGACTAAGTGGGGCACCACTTTGGTCAAGGTATGACTGGCTGAAGACGTCTAATTAGCCAGAAATGGATATTCCAGTCTTCCTTGTCTTTGCCGGCAATGCTATCTGCCTAATACCAGCTGTTAAGGCTGTCAGGGCCCATATCGAGAGCCAAGGCAGAGCGGGACAGATGAGTTCCGTTAGCGGTCAGGTGAACGTTCATCAAAGAGGCTGCAATATTTAGTTGTACACGAACACAGGCACATGCAGAGGGTAAGCACGTGGTACAGAAAATGCCACCGGAAAAAGGCGAGAAAAAAGATAAAAGGTGTTCAGCTCCCTGCCGAAAGTTTGGTGGGATCAGAAGAAAATGCGATGGCTGCAACCTCTTGTTCCGGTGAACGCATTTTTTTCATCGTCTGAACCGTCTCGTGGATCTCGCCTTTTTGCATCTATCGGCAGCTTGCTAGAATGTTTGGAAAATGCTAAAGAGTTCTACCTATGGAGTGTGGATACGAAAAGACTCTGGTTATTCTGTTCAGCTTTGAATTCATGCAGAACGGGGGCAGGTCTGGAAGTGGCTGAACAGGGATTTATATGCCGGCGCCAGACCCATACAGCGATCGTTTGAGTTCTCATCCGAGACCGAGGCGTAATCAATTCTCGGCTAATTTTTTTCTGGTGTGGATGACTATCTTGATGTCTGTGGTCAAATGACCAGCATCGTTAAATAGGACTGAAGAAACACTGAATCGGAATGCCTGCTGTCCCCGTCTGCGCAATTACCAGCAGATCCATGCAGAAAAAATAACGTACTAGCATCTGCAAGGACTGACTTAAAGATTCCTTCGTCGTGATAAGCTGACTGTTACATGAAACTAGAATAGTCGGTCCAGGTAATATAGGTCACCTTCGGCTTGATCCTTGATACAGCAACGTTGGCAGAATGTTGGCATCTTTGCAACAATAGCAAGCTAATTGTCACGGGCTTTTGGAATCGACAGCAACGCCTGCTAACGCAGTATTCTGATGAAGACCGCACGGTCAGCCAGAATGAGTAGATCCCACTCACGCAATTCTAGGTTCCGTAGCTGAATTTATAAAATGCGTAGAAACGGTGTGAGACGCTTTAAAATCCAAAAACTACGACATCTCAACAAAGTCAACGTACCGAGTAGAACACGGGATGAGGAACCTACCTACTCTAAGGCTTGGGTTAGGGCAGGAGAATCGGTATCCTCTCTGTAATTTGATAGAGGACCAC